GGGGAGCCAATAGCATTCGAGGAACAGCTTCTCATCGGAGAGGCCTGCAGAGCTCCCTGTGCCTATTAACCACAGAAGGTCAACCTTCATTGTCTGTGTCACCAGCCCGGCTCCACCTCTTACTACAGAGCAAGGGGGAGGGACACCAGGGCTAGCGGGCCACAGGCCTTGGAAAGGTAGGTCATTTGTCACTGAGCACGTCCCCAGGTCCTACACAGATACACCTGTGCCGGGTGGCCTCCAGGCTGCACCTTCTCTTGTGCTCAGGCCTGGTCTCTCTTGGGGACCCGCATGTCCTGGGCCCCATGGATTCTGCTGGTACCGAGCTGCTCTTTCTCCCTCTGTGTCGCCTCAGGCAACAGTCCCAGCCCTGCTGCTCGGCTGCTGCCTGCAAGCACGTTTCGGGCTGCCTCCACGCTACGTCTCAGGAGAAGGCTGGCCACCTCGCGGTCTCCTTCGGTTTTAGCTGCCTTCTCCACCAGTCGGGCTTGCACACCTGCGGAGGCCCTGGGCACACTCCGTCTCAGAGCTCACGGCCATGAGCATGGCCAAGGCCTCGACGTTCCGCCCTAGTCTGCTCCTCTAGGCCCGGCTCTCTAATACTCTGCCCTGTGCCATGTCCTGGTCACGTGACGCCACCAGCTTCTGCCCAAGGCAGCCCACGCCCTCTGCCCTCCACACCAGTGCTCCAACTGGGATGCCTTTGCGCTCTTTCCTGGCCGAACTCCTATTTAAATCATAGCCTAGCTCACGTAACCCCACCCCTCTACAAAGCCCTACCCAACCGCCTCTAAGTTAGCTGCTCTCCCGTGATCCCAGAAATGTCATGTGATCCTCCCCTCAAAAGGCACAGCAGTTACCTGTTTATAATGACTAGCGCAGCCCCGTGAGAGTAGGGAGCAGGCTTGGTTATTTCTACTTCTAGCGCCTGGCTGAGCCTGACACTTGTGCAAATATTTCTAGAGTATTCAGGTCTGTGGACTAAATGCTAGGTTTTTGTTTTGTTTTGTTGTTTTGTTTTGTTTGTCTTAAATAACAACTGAGGTTCCTTCATCCTCCCCACCCTCTTACTCTGACCCCTCCCCCTCCACCTGTCCACAGCACACCCAAGCTCTCAGCTTTGCTTTATAAAACCGCCAAGAGCACCCAGGGATGTTTGTCAGGCCGGCAAAAGATCTCCATCCAACTGCAAGTGAGGACGTCCGAACGCCGAGTGACTTCCCAGTCTCCGCCACAAACCAGAGTCAGTGAAGACACCAGGCCTCGTCGGAAGAGTACGGTTTTATTAAGAATACATAACGGGTCACGCCAACGGGCGCCTGTCCTGGGGCTGCCCCATGGAAAACAGTAGAAAATCAATTAGGGAAGCACAGGATTCAAGAGAGACTACTAGAAAATGGGAAGTGGACTGAAAACTAGTCTTGCCATTGCAAGTTTCTTTTCATAAATTTTTTTTAACTTTATGAATTAAATACATTGAGAAACACAGTGAAAATATATTTACAGTCATTTAAAATGGGCACTACCAACATAGTTAATTAAAAAAAATCTTTCCTGTTACTTTGCCTGTTTCTTTCACAGAGAATTTTAAATAGGACTTTAGTTTTGAAAAAATACAATAAGGAAATAATTACATTCTTAATATGAAAACACTTTACAACTGATAGCCATGGTCGATTAATTCTGAGTATCTATCATTTAAAAGCTGATGTGAAAATTCAGAGCGAATACTAACTTTCTTGTTAGAAAATCAAATAAAAAGATTTCTTCTGTTAAAAAACACCTTTGGTCCCTAAGAATGATGATCTGAAGATCTCACGTTGAGATTAACAACTGGAAATACTCAACAATACTTGGACACTGTGAAGCGGAGGTTTTCTGGAAGAAATATCTGACGAAGGACGAGCAAAAGCATACTACACCCGAGGCCAGCGGCTTCCACGGGAGCGGTTCCCTTCTTTAACAGCAGGTTGCCCTGCGATGGCGTGGGTGTTTACAGAGGTGGTTCTGCTTCTTCCGCGAGGCTGTGCCTGGTGTGTACACGGCAGGAAAAGTTTAGTTCATTTCGTTTTAGTTTATTTCACAGTATTTAACCCGGACCTTCGTGGGGACGGGAAGGCAGTAATAACAATAGGAACAAAAATGTTAATTATCTTATTTAAAATTATGCCATCAATTTGAAAGTATTACTATTATTATTATTAAACACCATTTTAGACAGAAAACAAAGGCAGTCATTTAACATTGGAGTATTGCCATGACCTTGACGGAGGCTGAGGAGCACCTTGGCTGCTCGGTCTGCAGGACCCTCCAGTGCTGTCTCCTGGAAGGGGCTACTCACACAAGCACCTGATCTGCTTGACTGGGGGCTGCCAGGGAGCTCAGGGGTCAGCGCCCCGCCAGCTGTCCAGTCTCAGAAGTCAGCTGCAGGTTGAGCTAAGCTCCTGCTGCCCGGTGGAAGAGGCCCCTGAGCACACGCTGCGGCGGCCCGTCCTGAGAAGGCTTCTAACCACGCGACTGCGGTGAGAAGCACAACGCTGCCGGAGAGCCAGGTCTGTGGGCTACTTCGCCTTTGCCCCAAATAGCGTGGAAGCAGACTCACTGTCCCTTCTGGAAAGTAAGAGGTGACCACAAAGAAATGACTTTTGCCCACCTCCCCCACCCCAACCCCAGCTTCCAAGCTGCCCTTCGGACACCCGGACACAAACTCCCAATTGTTGCCCTGATTACAAGGAATCTGGACCCGCTTCCCGGAGGGCCCTTGGAGCCCAGGACACACTCTTTTTGAAACAGACTTTACAGGTGTGGCACGCCGCTGACCTGTCAGAGTAGTCCCGGTTATCTGAGAACAGCTGGAAATGACTCTGGGACAGGAGAGATGAACACAGGAAGTTCATGCTTGGCCACTGAGGCGCACCCAGGGGGAACAAGATGGTCTCGCCCGTGACTGGAAGCAGCCACCAGTTAGCCTGGGAGAAGGGCTCTGCAGAGACCCCAGACTGGCCAGTCACGCTCACCTGTGGGCCCACTGGGCAGAGCCACACTGGTCACCCTGCGGTGGGGCCACCGACTCGGGGGCCCTGTGGGGAGCTGCTGGCTTCTCGGGCACAGGCACAGCTGCGTTGCTGGATCCTCACAGAATTCGGGCAGGGGAAATGAGGGCCCAGGCTGCGCCCGGGTCAGGGGGTACCAAAGGGGCCCTCCTGGGACCCTCACAGTGCTCCTGGGAGAGGCTGGCTAGACAGCGGAACACTGTAAAGCACACACGTGGAGGGGACCTCGGTGCTGGGGATGAAATACTGCCCGAAGCAGAACCCTGAGGGATAACATCGTGGCCTCAGGGGTCATAGAAGGGGCCCTGAGACCCGTCGAACTTAGCTGCCCGGCCTGTCCCGTCCTCCAGCCAGCCCTGCCTGTACGGCCCAGCGCCTCACTCACTGTCGGCACCCTGGAACAGCCTGGCCAGCACCAAGAACACAAGGGTTACAGTCCTGGTGACATTACAAAGGGCCCCTGACTTCTCCCAGAGGACGTGACCTGCTCCCTCGCAGCACGGGGTCGGCCGGGCCTTTCGCACGCTCAGCCCGGCTGTATTCCAGTGCAGGCTGCTGCACTCGGGGGCCAGAAGCAAGGGGGTGCTCCACCCTGGGGCACGTTTGGAGGGTAGTGCAGAGATCACTGTGGTAATTCAGACAAGGTGTCGCCTGTTTCTAGTATGTACAGACATAAATTAAAACTACATTTACTGAACATATACAAATAAATAACTTACTCGGATGCAGATGCTTTAGACTACCTTTCTGATCAAGTCTAAAAATGCCCAGGGAACACACGTCAGCAGAGAGGCCATGCCTCCGCGTGGAGCGGCGCCGGCTCGCTGGCTCTGCCGTGCGCTCTAAGGCTGCTGGTTATCAAAGGGAACTTACACCCCGGGTCTCTCACACACGCTGGGGGCCTGAGGACCAGCACCCCAATCCTGGCTTGGACACCGATCTGACCGGCTGGCCAGGGCATTGGGGTCTCCATGTGCAAGGCGGAGGCGCCAGCGAGGCGATGTTGGAGGTCCATGCGCTCCCCTGGGTGCTCTGACACCCGCCCCCAGACTGCCGGCGCCCACTGCTGGGCAAGGAGCAGTTCGGGCTGGCTCTTTCCCCTCGAGTAACAGTCAGAACGTGACACGGTTCTCTTGAGCAAAGAAGATGGCCAATCAGAAAGACCTGACAGCCTTAACATGAGAAGCTGCTTTGACCTGAACGCGACAAAAACCTATGGTAGATGAAGCTTTTCTCCTTATTAGGAAATGAGCTTCCTATGACACAAGTGGCCACAGCTTCCTACGACAGGAAACCACCAGGACAGGAGAGGGGCTCCTCAGCAGCGCCTGAGGGCGGCCCGCGTGTTTGGAAGGCTTCCTCGCCCGGCCTCCCTGCCTCGTCGATGCTGGTGGGATGTGCCTCCGTGGAGCACACCGAGAAGGACGGAGCTCCAGCGTGAGAATGCCACGAGCCGGACATGCTCCTAGCAGATGGCTTCGCACTCCATTCAAGTTTCAGGTGGACTCAAGCTAAGCAGCTTCCGACCTGTGCTGTAAAACCTCCCTGTACCCGGGGACTAGCTTCCCGCCACCAAATCCAACACGGCTCACACAGAGCGTCGGGCCAGGAGGTTGGCACTCACCCGGCTGCGGAGGCCTGTGGGCAATATGGCTGACCTAGGTTAGCACCCACCCGGCTGTGGAGGCCTGTGGGCGATGACCTAGGTTAGCACTCACCCTGGCTGTGGAGGCCTGTGGGTGATTCGGCTGACCTAGGTTAGCACTCACCCTGGCTGTGGAGGCCTGTGGGTGATACGGCTGACCTAAGTTAGCACCCACCAGCACCCACTGGCTGTGGAGACCTGTGGGCGATGACCTAGGTTAGCACCCACCCGGCTGTGGAGGCCTGTGGGCAATGACCTAGGTTAGCACTCGCCCAGCTGTGGAGGCCTGTGGGCGATATGGCTGACCTGCAGAGGTGTTCTGAAAGTGCGTCTGTGGGGAAACGCAGGAGACTGCTGCCCTGCCACCTCTCCCTCCCTATAACATGGAGACGGTCCAGATGTGCGTGGGAGGCCCACGTCCAGGCAGACGTGTCCCCACTGCTGCGCTTTGGGAAGGAGCCCGGCACACACATGGTGACTGGTCTCTGGGAGCCAGCCTGCAGAGGGTTCTGGGCGACTTGCTTCTGTTTCCTTACCAGTCACCGCATCTTTCCACATAGAGAATGCCTGGCTGTTAGAGCTACGGCGCAGGAACTCGTCTGACCTACACACTCTCTTCATGTGTCTTAGGCATCTGAATGCTGCCCTGCCACCTCTCCCTCCCTATAACATGGAGACGGTCCAGATGTGCGTGGGAGGCCCACGTCCAGGCAGACGTGTCCCCACTGCTGCGCTTTGGGAAGGAGCCCGGCACACACATGGTGACTGGTCTCTGGGAGCCAGCCTGCAGAGGGTTCTGGGCGACTTGCTTCTGTTTCCTTACCAGTCACCGCATCTTTCCACATAGAGAATGCCTGGCTGTTAGAGCTACGGCGCAGGAACTCGTCTGACCTACACACTCTCTTCATGTCTTAGGCATCTGAATGCTCCAAAAATATTGCACAGAAGGCAAGCCAGACAATGGGACGAGGCCCCCCCGGCCTTGTCGTGCTCGGGAGAGGAAGCAAGGCCAGGCCCAGAGCCCCATTCATGGCTTAAGTTTACAGACAGGGGAAGGAGCTGAGGAGGTGCAGGAAGCTCTCGGAGACCCTGCTTGAAGACGGTACAGTGTGACGACTGTACAAGTCCCAGAGCTGGCTTTCTTCCTACAGGACTGCCATGGCCCCATGCATCGGGGAAGGCCCTACAGATGCCGAGTCAAACCAGAGCTGTCCTCTGCGGAGCACGGGCCAGTCTGCAGAGGTGGGACAGGCTGGGTGTCTCGGGCTGGGTGGGGGCACACATGAGCGAAGTGTTGAAGACTCTGCTGCTCTTTTCCAAAGCAGTTCAGAGTTCATGAAACGGGGTGCGGGGTCTCTGAGCAACCCTTAGATCTAAGTGCAGCACACAGTAAAGACATTTATAAAAGGGGAGAGGGCTAAAACAATGGCAGCTTTTCCTGTCCTGGTGACAAAAGCACCTGTCCAAAAACCTTTCAAAAAGAACTAAAAGGTAAAAAATGCTTCACAGCACAAATTTCTCGTGCCTGTAAGTGACCAGGGTCAGGCACGTGGGGAAGGGGACGCTGAGACACACAGAGCCCATGCCATTCACGTCAGGGCTACGTGACCCCTGACCCTCTCGGCAGGCATGAGGTGGGCTCGACGCCCCCACGTGGTCACACCCACGGCCAGAGCAGCCACGGGAGCAGCCAGGGTCCGAGCCCCTCCATGCCTGACCCACGGTCTCGTCCAGGACTCATGGAACCACCCCTCTTTGGTCGGGGCTAGCTGGTGTGGGTCAAAGCAGTCACTCAGCTGCTTAGAAAGACATGGCATCCCCGCCCGCCACGGGAGCCTCTACAATACCTTTGTATCCCTTTTTGTTCTAATAAAGTTGGAAGCCAAAGTCTCACAAGTAAATCGTTTTAAAGGACAGTAGAAAAAATACACGTGTGCCAGGGCCAAGGAGTGGATATCAGAACTCAGTCGCAACGCCTCAGTCGTTTGTGTAGTCGAGGCCACTTCGGGTGGGGCTTCGGCGATCACACAGACGACCCCGGTGAAGGGACGAGCAGGCTCGCGTTCCTCTATGTCCCGTTCTTCAGCTCCCACTCCTAGAGAAGAGGAGAGCAGTGTAAATGGACGAGTCGCGCGGCGTCCCACGGACATCCGACTACCACGGGAATGTGGTGCCACGGCTCCTCGCGCGATCGGGCAGAGTCACCACCCGTTCCTGCGGCTCCACCGTCAGACGCGTCCCTCAGAGAGCTGCAGCAGGCGCCAGCACCACACCGCGCTCACAGCAGCACCGGGACAGCTCCGACGGAGTGGGTGAGGGCCACATGGTGGGTCTGCAACGGGACACTAGTCAGCCTCAAAGAGGAAGGGAGTCTGAGACTGGGCCCGCCTGGGGGCACCCGACGACCTATTCTGTGTGAAATAAGCCGGGAGCCCAAGAGCGAGTGCTGCACTGTTCCCCTGACCATGCCCAGGGACAGAAAGGCAGCGCGGTCAGTGTTACAGGGGACAGAGTCTCAGTCTGTGGAGATGGAGAGCGCTCTGGAGACGGGGTGGGGACGGATGTGCAGCAGTGAACGCGACGTCACTGAGCCATACGCTTCAAAAGAGGAAGAAGGCAGAATTTCTATTTATTTCGCCACCATAAAAAATGTTTATAAGAACGTTTTATAAAAAAGTAGGTGCTTCAGTCTGTTCGATACAACAGCTGGACGTGCACACCCGCGGCTGAGGAGAACTGCAGGCTCCACACCGCCACCGCCACCGCCACCACCGCCCCCCGCCGCCACCGCCGCGAGGGCAGACACGAGCTCCAGGGCCCGGCGCCAGGCCGACTGCCAAATGTGGCTATCTGCTGACGACACTCCTACGCGAGCTGTGTCCACATTTTACAAACGAGGTCACGTAAGCTTAGTGACTTGCTTTAAGTTCAAACTGACGAAGCTGGGACAAAGAGCAAAGCCCGTCCCCTCTGCACTCTGCCACATCTCGTCCCCCCTCCATCATGGGTCAGCTAGGGACCAGGCCGTGATGTCCCCTCCCCTCGGGGCAGTGCACCGTCTTCTGCTATTTGTGCAGGTCATGCCATGCACTTTCCACACACCTCGTTACCAGACTGCCTGCCGCCACGTCCCTGCTGGACCGGGCTCCGGGCCATACCCCCCCACATCTACCCTCCCTGTGCCCGCAGCACCCAGGGCGGCCGCACGGAAGGCGAGAAGCTTGGACTCCTCCTAGGCTCTGTGGAGCTACCTGGGTCTGAAGTGGGGTTTCCCCCGAGTTCAGCTGCCAGGAAGAAGAGGCAGAACAGGCCCACGTCAGAGACGGACCAACACCCTTCCTCTAAGCAGCTGCTTCTGAGGCACAGAGAGAGAGCGAGCCTGGAGCTTCTCCTGGCCCTACTGCTGTGGCGCCCTGGGGAAGTCACTGAATCTCTCTGGGCCCCAAGGCGACGTGAGTTCTGCTGATCATGGCAAAGCTCCCCACGCATCACCGAGAAGATCAAAGGAGAGACTGTGTTGGCCTGGCCGACACACGGGGGCCTTCTTCCTCCGTGCTCAGCAGCCTGGTGCGCCGCGTGCTCTGCCCCGACATGATGCTGACTCCACTGTACCTCCAGGGCCCTGCTGGCTGGGTCGGGTCCACCCCGCAGCTCTGCACTCTGTGCAAAGGCAAGCACTTCTCAGCTTACCTAGAATCCAAATCTCAGTTCAATTAATGGTTTAATGCATGCATTAGCATATGTGGCAGAAACAAAAATCTAAACCAAGCTACGACCAGTGAGGATGAAAACATGCCCAGGGCCTGCAGGTGGCACAGTGGGTGGAGTGGTCGTGACTGACCATGACTTGGGAACCTGCTGACTTGAAAATCACACGGTGCGTGTGTGTGCAAGCCCAAAATCATGACAGGAGAGTGGAGAAGGGGTTGCAGCGTGGCCATTCCCCCAGGGGTGATGTCTCCCTTTCCCTCTCACTGCCTCTCTCTGGCCAGCACAGGTGCCATATGGCAAAAACAAAACAAAACAAAACGAAAGGAACAGAACCAGAACACACACACGAGGCACTTCCAGGCGCTTGGCTCGGTTCTGCAAGGGGAGGATGACTAGCAGGGTCGCCTACGCCTACCCCGTGAGGTCTGCACGGGCGGCGCAGACGGGAGGGGCCCGGAGGACAATACCCCGAGGGCGGCAGTGATGGGCAGCTCGCTGTGCACTTGGTCACTCTGCGGCCAGGCGGTGGAGGCTGAGAGAACAAAGACTTACACGTCATCTAGAGGAGCTGCCAAATGTGCCTGGCGCCAAGTTCAGCAAATGTAATGGCATTTCAAAGGCCAGCTCACACAGGGCGCAACCCAGAGTGCCAGAATGGGAACTCCTGGGCACTGCCAGCCCAGGGTAGGATGGGCCCTGTGGAGAGGAAACGGGACCCTGACGTGGGTGCCACTACGCTAGGACACTCGGGTGCCTGGTGGGCACAGACTCTGGGCAGCCCCGCGCCTCTTCCCTCTGAAAGCGGGGCTGCCAGGACCACACCTGTGCTGCCAGTGTCCCCTGCACATGGCCTGTCAGACAGAGGGGCAGCAGAGCTGGGCTTGGAGCTGGGCGTTGTGGCTATTTCTTGCCCCCTTCCAACCGAGGACATCCTGGGACGTGTGGTTCAAAGTCTCTGACTTTCCAAAGAGCTCTTTCTCATATCCAGAGCACTCTCTTCCCAGAGCTGTAAATTATTTTAGGAATGTTCCCTATACGTGAAATAAGTCAGAGTCCCTGGCCCTCAGGATAGAGCTGGAGTGTGTGCGTGCCCAAACTCCTAAGAGGAGTGCGGAGGAGCAGGGATTGCAGTGGCCATCCCCCAGGGTTGGGCAGATGAGCAGGTGAGACCCTGTCTATGAAGGGCCCATGAGTGCATTAGTGTTCCCAGGTCAAAAGGCCAACGGCCATCTCCACCCCCGGCTGTGTGGGTTCCCTGTCACTATTCTCAGAAATTCCGGAATCAGTGAGGCTGTGCACAAGACTCCTAGCTAGAAAGATAAGAAGTGCTTCCACAGTGTTTTCTGGACCTGTGAACAGGGGTACTTATTTCCTGCAATGAGCATGGGCCACTCCCACCTCTGCTGTGTGTCTGCCATGGGCAGGAGCAGATGCTGAGGTCATGCTGGGGTCCACCCTGAGAAAGCTGCAGGGGCAAAGCAGTGCCCCACCTCTGGGCAGTGAGCGCACGCACAGGAGGTGGAGCCCTGGCCGAGGCTGGCGGCAGAACCGTAAACCCATCTCTTTGATGGTAAAGAAACCAAATAAATGAAATATTCTATGACGTTTCTCATCTGCAAATAAAAAATGGAACCTTATTGGGCAGCGCAATTCCAAATGTCCCTCAGGCAAAACACAGTCCTCGATGAATGAGCAAAATGGTTATAAACCCAGCACACTTGAGGGAGGCTCAGAAAGGAAACGAGACACGCTGATGCTTCTTTTTACCAATAAGGACACTCTCCCATAAAAAGCCTTTGCTACGGAGGGCAGATATTCTAGTGTGCCGTGGCTACCACACTGATCACCCCACCCTGCCACGGACACACGGACGGTGCGGCAGGTGGCTGACATTCGTGTTTTTATTTAACACTAGACCCACCCTTCGAGAAATAATATACTGCTCTCTGCTCATTTGAAATGGGTTCCAAAAGCTGGCAAAGAACAAAAGCAATGTGCGCAATTAGAAGACCCCACAGAGACAGAAAAGGCCACCACATTTATCAGAACAGACAAGACCATCTGGGGCCACTGCTCATGTCCCCGTACCAAGCCTGTTCTGCGTACAGTACCCTCTCAGCCACTGCGCCCAACGACTCTTCGCTTTCATAAACTAGAAACTGGTTTCGAATTTTTCTGAGATGTTTTAAGGTTAGCATCAAGAATTGTTAGTGTCTACAGCTCAACCACGGTGGTGTGGAGGAGGTGTGCTGCCCTGCAACCCTGGGGCCCGATGGGAGGTGGGAGTTCGCTTCCTGGGTCGACCTGGAGCCCATGCTCTTAGCTGGCTGAGATGGCTGAGGGGAGGACTGGGGCCTGAGACCCTACTGAGGGTGCCAGTCTCTCTCTCTGTCAAAAGGAAGGGAAGAAGGGCAGGAGGGAGGAGAAGGGAGAGAATGAAAGGAAGGGAGGAGGAAAGAATAAAAGAAACTATCTTAAAAATACTTAGTGACTAATCCCATGAGATGAGAAGATACTGCAGAATGGAGTAGAGATTTCCTAGGATACCTATGGCCAGATGAGGATGGGCTGGGGAGGGAATCGGAGAAAAGTTTATTCCTGGCCTTGTTTTTTATTTTTATTTTTATTTGCACAGAATCGGCATGCTGGGAAGGACCGCAGCAGTCGTCTGGTCCTATCTCCACTCTACAAGTAAGAAAACAAGTCCAGAGAAGCCAAGAGTGCCCGGCATCGGAGATAGAGCCAAAGCTGCTGCCTTTTACTGACGCCCAGGGGTACACTGCTCCCCACTCAGTGTGGGGCCTGGCTCTGCCCAGGAAGACCCGGGCCCTGAAGGAGGCTGGTGCAGCAGGGCTGGGCGAGTGCTCACGTGGGGCCAGCTAACAGAAGCCAGGTACCGGGGGAGCACTCCCTCATGTCCACAGAAGCCTGAGAGCTCTAAGTGCCTGAACAGAATGCCTGCACCGCCCCAGGGTCAGCGATGACAGGGAACCTGGGGACTCACCTTGGCCTTCCTCAGCACGTGCCCTCGGCAGGGGGAGCTGCCCGAGGCTGGCTGGCTCTTCTTCAGGACAGCGGCGCTGTTCACCGGCAGGGGGCCTTCTGCATCGCTGGTGTCACAGCTGGAGATGGGCGAGTTCTCCAGAGTCCGATGCCGCAACACTGGAGACTGGGAGGAGGGAGAGCCCTGTGTGAGAATGGTCTCCAGGCTACCGGTGTTTTCCAGCAGGAACGTGACATATTTTAATGAAGAAATGGATTTGAAAATGGCCAAGAGTAACAACCATCAGGACCACCTAACTCAGTGCCCAATCTCAAAGCACCTTGAGAAGTTCCATTTTACAGATTGGAAAGCTGAGGCTCAGAGGGACGCTCTGGCTGGGGCTAGGAAGTCAGCAGGACTCAAGTCCACGTCTTCTGCACTCAAAGCTTGGCTCTTCCACGCTCTGTAGCACGGTGGCTAAACACTCTTCAGAGGAAGTCGGATCCCACATGGCTGACTGTGGCTTGATTCCAGCCCCAGTGCCTTGAAAACACAGCAGGCATGTGTGTTCATGCCTATGATCTTGATGGGATGCAAAAATGAAGGGAAAGAAAGGATTGCATCATAACCAGGTCCCCTGGAAGGGTGTTTCTCTCTTGCAATGCACACCCTCTAGCAAAAAACAAAGACAAGTTTTCTGGAAGGCTTAAAATGGAATAAAATATGCACTCATTTGCCAAGGCCCTACCTGTGTTCTCCCATGTGGGACTGCAAACTGCTCTTTGGGAAAAAATGTTAGCAGTCTGCTGTGCATACCCAAACGAATCTCCAAGGAATAAGCACTCCCTATTATTACTGCAGTAACAGCGATGTGAGAAAATACTGCTCGGAGCGCAGAGAATGTAGTTTTACGAGAGCAGGTTTCAATGACCATAAACAGGGTCCCCCTAGGGAGGCATTCATGTAGATCCCAAGACTGCCACTTTCACCTCAGTTCTCGCTTTCCTTGTTAATGCGTTAGCGGGCAGCACAGCCAGCAGGGAGGGAGGGAGGGGGTGCAGTGGTCGGTAGCAAAGCAGAGAATTTCAACGATGGCATAAATCTCTGGGAGAGGCCAGGCTGGGGTCTGAACGAGCTGACACACATCTCGGAAGTGTCGCCAACAAGCCACACTAGAGGACATGGTCTGAGAGCCAACGGGCAGGAGGTAGCCACTGAGCTGGGGCAGATGACGTGACCACAGTCCATCAGGAGACTCAAAAGCGAGAGGCGGTGTTGTGCTTTGAGAACAGGGAAAGCCGAGGTGGTGAACCAGGCCTGCACCTACGAAGGAATGAGCTTTGGTTCACTGGACCAAAGGAAAAGCATGCAGATGAGCAGGAGGAGCCAGCAAAAGGGGTCCAGAGAAGCCCAGAAAACAGCACAGCCACCGCAGACGGGGGAGGCCACCCACGGAGCCCAGGGGTGTCTGGAACCGGGGAGAGGAAAGGGCTGTGGCCTCACTGGAGTGACAGCACTGGCAATCAGGAAAGCCGACTGGATGCCACGCCTCGGAGAGCTGGGAGTGGGTGGGAGGGACACAACCACTTGCAGAGGTTTGGAAGGGAAGCTGAGAAACGTCAGACAACGGGACATTCACCGGGGAACATGGAGCTAAGGTAGAATCAGGTTTCATCTTTTTAAAGACGGAATAAACTAGAGAATCTTAAAATGAGTTGAAGGAACTAATAGAGAGGAAAGTTGGAGACACAGGAGGAGGGTCATCGCTGGTGCCTGGAAGTCAGGAGAGGGTGGGATCTAGGACTGCTGGGGTCGGGGGGGGGGCCCCTCCTATGGGCCAAAGGAAGGTGCCACGCCTTTCCCACCACCACTCCCCATGCAGGACAAGAAGCCCACGGGGACCACGTGCTCTCCTGCAGCAGGTCGCCACGGGCAAGAGTCGCACGGACCCCAGAACTCCATTTGCACTGGGGCTTCCCCGCTGCTGCACTGGTCAGCACACACAGCCTACTACCACTCTACAGCTGGCCTCGGTCCCCACCACAGGGCTCACCGAGAGGCCCGGGACCTCCAGGTCACCCCCTGGCCCTTGGCTTCTAACTCCCATGGTGTCCAGACCCTCCCTGCTCCTACTTTACTGCTCGTCACAGATCTGTCGACAGCCAACATAAATATATTTTACTGGCTGGTCTCCCTGCAGGAGAGGGAGGGAACAGGAAACAGGGACTCTCACCTACGAGGTTCACAGCCGCGCCCAAGCATGCGGCATACAGAAGGAACACAGTGTACACACGTACATGCACGGCTGCAGTCAGTAATGGGCCGCGCATACAAAGATGAAGCGATAGGCTGTACTACACAGCCCGGTGTGCAGTGGCTGCCCCGACCGGGTCGGCGTCAGCCCTCGGGGAGGGTCATGTAGTGACCCAATCACCTGACTGTGCATTTCCCAGAACACACCCCTGTTCATATGCAACGTATGACCACGTATGCACATGCACCCAGCATTTTATATGCAGGATGACATATCATAGAAATACATCATTCTATGTAATAGCAATATACAACTACAGAAATGTATATACTTGAATGGGTTATGTCATTTTGTATGTAAACACACACATGCTGAGTGAATGATGCGATGCATGGACATACGTGAGTGAACAAATGCTCCAATGGGATGAATGCACACATGCTGGCTCGGCCCTGGGCCAGCAGCTTCTCTACACGGGATCCGATGCAGGAGGCAACATTATCATCTCCATTCCACAGCTAAAAGCGGGCCCAGAGAGATTAAGTAACTGTAAGCCCCGGCTGTCTCGCTGAAGAACCTGCTGCACACTCTACTCTGTGCGGCTGGAAGAGCTTCCAGCACAGACATTGTGTAGCTTTGGCAACGACGCTCCTACCTGGCTGCCTGACTTAGCTCGGCCAAGGCAGGGAGACACTGTGGAAGTAAGTGGGGAGTCTCGGAGTTGAGACAGGAGACTAGAGCTGGGGAGAAAGGGGAACTTCCAAAGTAGGCTCTGTGTTGACACAGCGGTAGAGGTGGCACAGGGCAGTGTTGTCGGGCGATGGCTGGTGGAGATGGGTGGAGGAGGATTCCAGGGGTGCACAGTCATAAGCCCACCTGGTGTCTGGGTGGAGGAGACCAGGCCTGACATGGTGCCGCGTGATTTGGAAGATGGCCCTGAAACGTGAGCATTCCAGAGCAGGTGCATTGGGGGCTCCGGGGTGCAGAGCAGTGCTCCGGCTGCCCCTCCTGCTGCCCGCTCTGACGTGCTTCGTGGCTAGGTCCCTCTCCTCCTCTGGGCCTCGAGTTCTTCAGTAGCAAATTGGAAATGCTAACGTCTGACTCACAGGATGGTAGGGCTTCCAGTGGGGTAACCGAGCAGAACAGACAGCAGTAGGCGCTCAGCGACTGCCAGTGAGGTGAGAGTGAAGAGTAAGCCGACTAGCGTGATGACTGGTGTTGGACAAATGATCTCCCCTGTCCTGTCACTAAGGAAGTGCAGATCACTCTTCACCCATTTCAATATCCCCAGCACCTGGCATGTCTTGGAACATGCTAGACAGTTTATAAACACTTCCTAGATAGAACTAAATTTTCTATGGAATGACTTGGCATCAAACTAGGACCTGTGATCACCAGATTATGCAAAGGGGAAAGACACAGACTTAGGGTCTCCGTCACCCTTCACACATTTCAGTGAGTAAGAGAAGAGAGTGTAGCGCATGATCAGCAGGAGTGGCTGGAGCTGGTGACACAGACTGTGCACTTGGCTGTCGTCGCCCCCTCAGACGCACTACAGCAGCCCCCTTGGGGTACAGCCATTGTTATCCAAGGACACCGCGACTTCGGAGAAGGGCTGGCAGGGTGCTCACCTGTGGACTCGAAGTCCCTGATTTCGGCTCGATGGCCAGCCCCAGGGTGACCCCGCCCGCCAGAGCTTTCTTCAGGCTTTCCTTGACGTCCGTCAGCTCCAGCTCCAGGTTGACGCGCTCTGCCTCCTTCTGCTTACACTCCTCCTCCAGCTTCCGTAACTTATCTTCCAGGATCACTTGGGTCTTCCTGCCTGGAATCGCAGAGAAACACTGCAGCTCCAACGCCAGGCACAGGGTTTCAGGAGGACACAGGAGAAGGCATGTGGTACCCCAACAGGGCTCGACAGGCGTTCTAGGTGGAGCGGCCCTGACAGGTCCTTTCTACAAAACCTAATTTCTCCTAGTGTCTAAAGAACCAACGTCCTTCTCTAACCACTTTTCTTGGCCATGGCTGGGAGCGCTAGACCAGGGAACAGGGGATCTTGATTCTCACAAATCTAAGGCATTC